TTGGCAGCTCCTGACTATTCTATCCATGTACAACACAAACAGGATAGGGGACAGGACGCAGCCATGGCGGGGACCAGTGCGAACGTTGAATGGTTTCCACTTAACGCAATTAACTTTGACGCAGCACCTGGTATCAGAATATAGTAATTGAGTGATCTCTACAGCTGGCCATATATCCCTTATGCTGGAAGGCATGACCACAGACTGTTGCGTGGGATCCGACCATAGGCTTTTTCTAGGTCAACATAACACATGTACTCAGGACGGGTGTCCTCCCCGATTTCTCAACGATGTGACGCAGGCAAATATATGATCAGAGGTGTTTCGACCGGGCCGAAGCTACAGTACCCTTCTTGTATCTTGGAGTCAGTTGTTCCGCGACTCCTCTATTATAGCACCTTTGCGTAGACTTTACCTGGTATGCTCAATAACCTAATGCCCCTATAATTGGAGCACTCTCTGCGGTTTCCCATCTTGAACAGGGGTACAACAGCTCCCTTTCTCCCTTCCGCTAGTGTCTTACCCATATTCATCGCAGTTTGGCAGACACGTAATCCGGCATATGCTTTGTCCCTCTAACGCCTTGAGAATTTCAGGGCGGATTTCATTATCCGAAGTCTAAGCTCAAAGTTGTTATTCTGATTTAGTGCAAGTAATTGTGGACAGTTAGAAGGTCTTCTGTATGGTCTGCTACTGTTTGAATTTTTTTAATTTTAATAAATCAGTCAGTATCACAAGTACCGGTGATAGAATAGACAGCGCGCATAGTTCCTAATGTGTCGGGATCGGCAACTTTTTGCTTTCTCATGGCTAACTTCGCCTTACTCCTAGAAGATCTTTTTCTGGTTCAGGCCTTTAGCGTTTTAGGGATGACAGTCGTTCTTTAATTTTCTCTGCTTCATATGAGCTCGTGTATCGTTCTTGTCACAGCTACTATACCGCTGTCCGCTCTTATTCTTTTTCCGTTTTTACTGTTCTTACGCCTGTATATTACAGTTTTAATTATTCACATTGAAATGACTCACTCGAAAACCAGGTTTCCAGTTGCTTACGGCCCAGTTATTGGCAGCTGTTAAAGTATGTTTTTAGGCAATGGTTTGTTGTACCAAGTTGAGTTGCGGTAAAATATCCATTGGTTAGTATCTCCGTTTATTTACATTCCATAGCGTTTGGCGATTGTTTTGATCTGTTGCAGATAACGCTTTTTCATTCATACGAGGTAGCATTCCTAGTACGGATATAGGAGTTTTGCTATGTTTCATATTTTGCTATTAGATATGGCATAGTTCGGGTTTCATCATTTAAATATGTTTTGTCATGTTAATATTGTATACGTAATATTCATAATTAAACTGAATAGTTTTTGGGCATTTGGTTAACGAGCGTTTTCTTACGCCGGAAGCAGACATGTGCTACCTACTTGTCTTTACTTAGTTAACATTCCAGTGATCTAGAGGCTAGGATGGTCATTTTAGCACGCCATATATGTAGGAAAATTAGCAGATTTAGTGCATAAATCTGGAGTCGTTATTGTAGACTTGAATTAGTATTGTTTTAAAAATTGTGGCTTAATTTATTGTGATTAGATCATCTGAGCATTTCATCGTTTGGAAAGATTTTTATTGTTGTCTCTTAACCTGTCAATGTTATGCCAGATTTTAGGTATTCGTTTCCTCTATCTAGAAATTATAGCACTACCTGGTTTATATTGTGTGTTTATTTTATACGGTATTTAAGGATTGCTTAATTCTGATTAACGTTTAGTTTTACATTGCTTGGGAGTGTTATGCCGTATATTATACGTATATTGCATTTGCAGAGCTGAAAGAGAAAGACTAGAACGTGAAAAGTTGGAATTGCAACAGCAGCAGATGCGGATTGCATATGAAAGGTCGGTTGGTTCTGTTGATTATTTATGGTTAAATAAATCATTCAGAATGCCTCCACCGTCTCTGGTTAGCATGAAAAGGTCATACGAAGGATCGTCATATCCTGAACCTAAGCGCTACATTTCTAGTGGAAATTACAGTTCACGTAACTCTTCAAGAGGAAGGTCTCCTATGAGGCAAGTCACAGCTACATAGTTAAATCGTTAGTACTGTTGTAATAGGAGAGACAACTACAGGGAACGACGAAGCAGTGAAAGGTACGAAAGAGATTCAAGATTAGATCGCGGTTTTACTACCAGAAGAGAGACGGAAAGACGAGACCAGGGCTATCGAATGCGTGAAATGAGTCGTCCAACGGTTCGTGAAGACAGGCGCATGTTATCTCCCAGAAGAGGACGAGACATGCCGTCGCCTCGGGGTGGCAGTTCATGGGGGACGAGCGGCAACAGTAATCGACACATGGGAGGCAGTCGAGATAGGCCAGACTACAATGTCCGCGGAAGTTACCAGTCTGGTCATGGATCAGGTCCATGGTCAGGTCAGCCAGATCTTCCAGCACCAAGTGGGGGTGGCGGATGGGCAAGACCCGGTATTTTTCTTTTTTCGACATCCGTAATGTAACACATTTCCTAGGTTCTTTCTGTGCAGTTAATTCAGGCGTGTGGACTCCAAATTCAGTCTTCACTGGTGTGAATCCGAGCAGTTCGGCATCGTATTCTGGCGGAGGCGATCGTTTCGATGCGTATAAGTATTCTGGCTCTGTTAGCCGGCGGTATTGACCGTGTATTATTAAGAGTTGTAAATCAAAATCGACTGTATTAAACTCGCAATTTATTTAGCTGAAAAACTTTCATAGATCAAATAACATGTCAACGAGAAATCAAACAGCACGAAACCGGAAATACAGCACGAATGAGACATGACCACAAATGTAAAGCTGGGTTTTAAAAGCGACGTTAAAAGTACTTCACGACGTCAGTTTGAAAAGGGAATATATACCTAAAAGTAGACGTTAGAGAATCAGTTGCGAACGAATGCAAGTCGGCAAAGTTACGAAAATTAAAGGGGACCTATATTCACAGAATCATTAATTTCGCTTTAGTAAGAAGTTGGTTGTTTGATTCTGGTTTTATAAAGGTGGACTAATGTTAGGTGGATAGGGTAAACTGTAACTCTTCGTGCCGTTTAAAGAAGTTACTTATAAAGTTCTAATGGTGGAGTAGTATTAGTACCTTCAGCGAATGGCGACAGCCGGGTTTTATTTAAATGGTGTGCGGCAGTAGCTAGTCCTCGATCTGCGCGATTCGTAACAGTTGCTGGCGAGACGAGTGGGAACACTTGAGCTTCGAGGTATTCTTGAGTCGTTAGCCACCTTTACAGGAATAAATGACTCCGGATAGCAACGCCGTCCTTGATCCTTGAATCGTTTCCGTTCCAGTTCATCGCAGTCCGGTGTCGAAAAGACGAATACGAGTTCCTTCTCGAACTTAAAACTGCTGCGTAGGCGATCGTCAGCATCTTGCGAAGACATCTCCAGATAATTACACTTCACTAGCGACAGCGATTCGATGGCGGACACGAGTTTCTTGAACTGACACTTGTAGTGCGACAGGGCACCTCGCAGGAATGCGTTTTGTTGATAATGATGTTTGATAAGTTTCTCCTTCATCACCAAATACGATAGCCAGCAATCCAAGCTCTGAAGTCTGAAAATAAAGAGCTGAATTTATTTGTTGACGGTTAGTGAATCGATGGCCAGTGGCATAGGCGCGTCGTCGTCAGCTCATAGCAAAGTTAATGTCAAAGAATAAGCAGTTACGATGTTTCTTTTGACGCATTAGAGGAACATGTCACTGGCTGTCGGGGTTTATAATTACTTCAGCAAACCATGAACAAACAGTATAATTTTGAGACTTCGGTCGCAGGAGTTGCAGAAAGATTTATCCAGGTCTACAACCAGATCGTAGACGGATTTAGTGGCTGGTCCTAAAAACGTTCTTTAACCATGCTAGAAAACAACCTACAGCAAATTACCTCGGTGAGTGGCGGCTACGATTACCGACCACACGCCAAACGGCGGCAAAAGCCCGTCCTGGAGAAGTTCAATGAACGCCGGACAAATGTGCTCATGAACAACTTCCTGAACTTCCTAACAAAATGATACTGAAAGCATCAAAATAAACCTGGCACGTCGGCGTTTTTACCAAAGATACCATTTACCTATCATTATCTTCGATGACGCCTTAGGTGCAAAATTAATCTAAATGCAAGGAAATTTTCGCTAGGCGCACAAAGTTTGAACTGTGCTCAGTTTCCATCATTTTCCTTTCCTGTTAAGTGAACGTCTGCGCCAGTCTGTGAAGAAATCGCCAACCAAAACACTAACGATCTGTTGCAAGCAACAGCCACGACAATACTTTTGCAGGGATAAGAAAAGTTTAAGTTTCGGGGGTAAAGAAGGGCGTACCAGACTGATGTACTGTACGGTGTCTGAATTTTGACCGCTGTTTACTGACTGACTGAAACCAAATTCACTGCCGGGAACATAATCCACTGTTTTAGTTTTGCGCAGTTCATTAGAATAACGAAGCCGCCACCTCACTAAGGGTCAAAGTATGCATGGTGATGATTCAATAATCCTTGGCGACAAAAAGTATCGAAAGCAGCATCTGCGCATCCAAAAAACTTCGTCGATCAAAGGCTACTGTCTTCGCCCTTACAGAAATGTAGAAAGTTATATTTCTTGCGAACCGCTCCATCGATTACTGAACACAAAAACCGCATTATAAACAGCTTATCCATGTCTGCAAATAAGTTTCGTGCGTTACTGATTCATTTTCCCAGAGATGGTCGTCTTCAGGAAGACATTCTAGGTCTCCTTTCCATAAGACAGCCGATGAGGTACGCCAGCGGCATTAATGTTGACCATATTTTCTATTTTATTTGAACTTTAGAATGAATGCAGCTGGTAAAAGTCTGGTAGTGCCATTTCGATATTTTCGGTTATTCCGCCGATAGGTGCATTCGGTCATTGATCCTGCCAAAGGGTGATCTAACTGAA